AGCTCCCCAAAAAACCTTGGCCAAGAAACCCCCACCCCCCCAAAAAAAAACCTGGAGCTGACATGGCTTCCCTCCTTAGAGGCTGAGAGAAGGCTGTGATGAGAGATCTGGCAACAATGATGAAGGAAAGGCAAGATAATAAAAAAGCATGCCAAATAACAGGGACAATAGATTGAAGTCAGCAAAGCCTGGTGACATTCAGTGAAGGATGTTGCAGGAGTTAGCCAGGCACATCTCAGAACCACAAGCTAATGCAATTGCGTGCTTGCGTTCCAGGTGATTGGGGGAAAGAAAATGATTGTCCCATTTAAAAAATAAAAGAAAGGCAACTCTGGGAAAGGCATACCAATCAGTATCTTCACTAAGGATGTGAATGATACAAAGCTGGGAGGTGCTGCAAATTTCTCAGAGGTCGGCTAGAAGTTCAAAATGACCTCAATGGAGAAAATTGGCAGACACCAACCACATGACATTAAAGTGTAATAAATTGGGAAGAGACCACATTATTAAGCAAAGCACCAGATGTTTCAATGGCAGATAACTGGCTAGGCTATGAATCCATGAGGCAACACTGTTCTAAGCTTCATCAATAGAAACATTATTTCCAAGACCCTAAAAGAAAGAGTTTCACCTAAGGCAATGTGTGTCACTTTGGAGAGAATCCAAATCAGCTCAAGACATCAGATGATTTGTGTCTTGGATGATTTGCACAGCCAAAATTAGAGTCCAGCGCTGTTTTTCACTTTGAAGTTGAAAATAAAATGATGCCTCCTCTGTTGAATTTTGTGCTAAAGTGGTTAGTGGGGTTAACGTGGCATGTGTTCCAAAGCAAGAACAGCGCTTTCCAGCAGGTGAATAAGCTCTCAGCATTTGCTGAAAAGTCAGTCGGTGAATTACACCTATTTTTGCTGGATAGAGGGTGATGGCTCCTCTGGGAATGATGTAGCCACAGAGGTGTTGTGGGGAGATAAGAGGGTGAGAGATGTGACTCATAGTGGAGACTATGAACCTGGTTGGAAAGAGGAAAAGCTGGGAAAGAGAAATTGCCAAGGTCAATGTGTTCACACACAGCTGGAGTTAATCTGCTTATTGACTTCTTCTAGTTGAGCTGGTTCTAGTGGGCCCTCTTACGAAGGCCTAGTACAGTGGTACCCCGCAAGACGAACGCCTCGCAAGACGGAAAACCCGCTAGACGAAAGGGTTTTCCGTTTTGGAGGCGCTTCGCAAAACGAATTTCCCTATGGGCTTGCTTCGCAAGACGACAGCCCATAGGGAAATCTCAGGACAGTGGGGAGCGCAGCGCGTCTTCCCCACTGTCCTCGGACCTCCTCCGAAGCCTGGCGGCGGGGCGGGGACACCTCCTCCCGCCGCCGCCGGGCTCGGAAGGCTCCTCCGAGCCGGGCGGGGGGAGGGAACACCTGCCGCCGCCGCCCGGCTCGGACGGTGCTCCGAGCCGGGCGGGGGAGGGAACACCTGCCGCCGCCGCCCGGCTCGGGACGGTGCTCCGAGCCGGGCGGGGGAGGGAAGACCTCCGCCTCTGCCCGGCTTCGGAACGGTGCTCCGGCCGGGCGGTGGGGAGGAAGACCTCCCGCCGCCCGGCTCGGGACGGTGCTCCGAGCCGGGCGGGGGGAGGGAACACCTCCGCCGCCGCCCGGCTCGGACGGTGCTCCGAGCCGGGCGGGGGGAGGAAGACCTCCGCCGCCGCCCGGCTCGGACGGTGCTCCGGCCGGGCGGGGGAGGGAAGACCTTCTGAAGGCGGGCGGGGCGAAGTCTTTGCTCCCCTGCCTGCCTGTCCCGGAGGGCTTTTGAAGGCGGGGAGCAAGACTTTCGCCCCCGCCCGCCTTCAGAAGAGGTCCAGGACCTCTTCTGAAGGCTGGCGGGGGCAAAGTCTTTGTCCCCCTGCCTGCCTTCCCAGGGGCTTTTAAATTGCCCCGGACAGCGGAGAAGTCCTCCGCTGTCCCGGGTGATTTTAAATGCCGCCCGCCAGCATTTTAAGATCGCCCGGACAGCGGAGAAGTCCTCCGCTGTCCCGGGGTTTTTTAAAATGCTGGGGTGGGAAGAAAAGCCCTTGCCCCCCCCCCCAGCCTTCAGAAGAGGTCCGGGGACAGACTGTCCCCGGACCTGGTCTGAAGGCGGTTTCCCTAGGAACGCATTAATTGATTTTCAATGCATTCCTATGGGAAACCGTGCATCGCAAGACGAAAAACTCGCAAGACGAAGAGACTTGCGGAACGAATTAATTTCGTCTTGCGAGGCACCACTGTATATGGCCTAGTTCACAAGCCTGCGAATATTCTGACTGATTTCAACTACAGTGGTACCTCAGTTTATGAACTTAATCCGTTCCAGAAGTCCATTCTTAAACCGAGGCGCGCTTTCTCTAATGAGGCCTCCCGCCGCCGGTGGCCTTCCACCATTCGGATTCCATTCTTATACCGAGGTAAAGTTCACAAACAGGGACACTTCTTCTGGTTTTGCAGAGTTCGTAAACCAAATCGTTCTTAAACCGGACTGTTCTTAAACCGAGGTACCACTGTATATCCAAAATATATCCAATATCCACAATCGCAGTTATGGAATGTGAAATGGATAATGTGGCTCTCCAGGTATTGAACATGTGCTAGCATTTAGGAAGCAGTTAAATTTACAATGTGCTTTTCAGACTTTGCTGCGATTTATCCTGAGCACCATAGTGATGTGGGTCACTAATATGCTCCCTCCTCTTTTTTAAAGATTGGTGGGGGGAGAGAGATAATGCCTTGCCCACTACCATACAAGGGGCCTTACAGAGACAAGACAAGATTTGACATGGATCCAAGGCTAGCACTGTCCACTGTATCACATTGACTCCACTAGTTAAAAGTGTTACTAAGAGATATCTATAGTTCCATTCCCCCTTCTTTCCATGGCAACTACACACCAAAATGTTTCCAGGGGCAATGGCTGATGCACAATGCTGCTAATAAAAGACTTCATATAACATCATAAACTGACTCCCAAAGGAAGCCAGAAAACAGCTGCAGATTGACACTATGCAATAACAACAGAAAACATTATTCCTCCTCTAGCAGAAGCCATATTATATACCGTAATTATAAACACAACCTTGACCAAGATGTATCATAGGTAACTCATTTTTTCTCTGAATCAGACTTCTTACAACAAAAATCCCCACCCATTTAGAATGCAATCGAGCTAATTTTTAAGCTCTACCGATTTTAGTGGGTGACTTAAGCATGCACTTTAATGTCTCTTCTGCTGAAATCAGTTGTACTTTAACTCGATCTTACACATCCTTCATAGTAACCAGAAGTACACCAGGGCAAATGAAAATGTTTAAAATGCAGAGGTAGCCATGTTGGTTCATAAGAAAAAGAAAAGAAAAATCATTCAAACTGCAGAGTTGGGCAATACCTTTATTAGGGCAACCCAAAATGTCGTAGAATTTTGGAAAGCTTTTGAGTTCGAGAATTCTTCCTAAGACAAGAATTTGTGAAGGGACATGGAAAATTAAAAATACATATTTGCGTCTGTGCTCTTCCCTTCTCCAGGGTATCCTTATACTGAATCAAGTCCTTCAAGCTTGGTCTATTCTAACCAGAAGCAGCTCTCTCGAGCAGGGGTCAGCAAACTTTTTCAGCAGGGGGCCAGTCCACAGTCCCCCAGACCTTGTGGGGGGCCGGACTATATTTTTTAGGGGAAATGAACTAATTCCTATGCCCCACAAATAACCCAGAGATGCATTTTAAACTAAAAGCACACATTTTACTCATGCAAAAACACCAGGCATGCCACACAAATAATCCAGAGATGCATTTTAAATAAAGGGACAATTCTACTCATGTAAAAACACACTGATTTCCGGACCATCTGCAGGCCAGATTTAGAAGGCGATTGGGCCAGATCCTGCCCCCGGGCCTTAGTTTGTCTATCCATGCTCTAGAGATTCAGAAGACATTCCTAGTCCTACCTGTAGATGCCAGAGAAGGGCTTTTGAACCTCTCTCATGCAAAGCACGAACTGTACCACAGATACACATCCCTTGCCCTACCAGAGGACTTCTGCATTTGCACCTCTTTTTATGAATGAGGATCTTTCAGATCATGTGCAAATGCTGGTCTGAAAACTGTATCAAGCTACCATGTTAGGGAGAAAGTTCTGCCTCAATGTCTTCTGCACTTTCTAGTTTTGAATACGGGGAGAAGTTTATTTCACACGTGAGAGTATTCAAGCATCATGGCCACAGTCTTGGTGGCATGGTCCAAAAACACAGGGCTGATGATCATGCATTTTACACCTCGGTGCACATTAACCCACCATTCACAATTGGCATTCTGGGTCCCACAATTCACAACTCAAGACAAACAGCCTGGATAATTGCAATGTTCTGCAAAGAATAAGGCCACAGAGACAGGCAAATGGATGCCGTGGTATCCTAAGAGACTAGAAGATCAAAGCTGGGGAGGGAGGGAAGGAAGGAAGGAAGGAAGGAAGGAAGGAGGAGGAGAAGAAGAAAAAGAAGAAGAAGAAGAAGAAGAGGAGGAGGAGGAGGAGGAGGAGGAGGAGGAGGAGGAGGAGTTTGGATTTGATATCCCGCTTTATCACTACCCGAAGGAGTCTCAAAGTGGCTAACATTCTCCTTTCCCTTCCTCCCCCATAACAAACACTCTGTGAGGTGAGTGGGGCTGAGAGACTTCAAAGAAGTGTGACTGGCCCAAGGTCACCCAGCAGCTGCATGTGGAGGAGCAGAGACACGAACCCGGTTCACCAGATTAGGAGTCCACCGCTCGTAACCACTACACCACACTGGAAGGAAGGAAGGAAGCCATGCTGAAATTTTTACACTGGTTACACTAATCAGGGGAAGATACACTTGTGAGTCAATGGAAATTGCAATAAGGAACTTATTCTGATAAACAATTCACTGAAATACTGTATTAGGAAAAGAAATTTGTCTACATTCTCACTTAACAAAATATTCATTTTTTTCACATTGCACTGTGTTCTCTGTGGTGCTATTGTGTCAGTGCATCTGGCTGTTAACCAGAAGATCGGTGGTTCGAGCCCACCCAGGCGTGGCTGTCAGGGGGTTGGACTAGATAGCCCTTGGGGTCCCTTCCAACTCTACAATTCTACAATTACAGGGGCAGGATTATACTAGAGGGGAACTGGGAACTCTTTGCCGCAGGTGGCAACTTTTTTTTCTCACTTCCATCTACCAGTTGGTACTAGATGAAATACTTTGGACGGACGTGCCACACTTAAAGCTTTTCTGCAAAATAGCTGCAGGCTTATCAGTTACAGTTAAACTGAGCAAATAAGTAAAACAAAAGAACTGTGGAATATTATCTGGCTGCTGGAAAACAATAAAGGGCTATAGAAAGAAAATGAACATTACAAAAGGAGAGAAGAACTGTGGTGTAGTGGTTTTTTAAAAAAATAAAACCTGACAAACTTCACAGTTACAGAGTGCTGGTCCGCCCAGCAGAAAGTATCTGTGACGTCAGCTGAGGTTTTGCCTGAATAAGGTCTGGCTGCAATGTTTCTCAAAGCACTGCCTTTTGTGCTTTTACGCTGGAAAGCTGGCAACAGTTTCCATGAAATTACCAACTATGCAATGCAGTATATTATGTGCCTGACGTAGCTTGAGAAAATTCAACACTTCTTCACAACGTCATGGAAGAAGAATGAAGTTTGATTAATGGTTTACCATAATCTCATACTGTTATTGGTTTTATTAAAATTACTATGGACCTACTAATACTACTACTATTATTTTTATAAAAAAAAACAAACCACTGTCATATATCTCATTATAACTTGCAATAATGTTGCTGGGGCTATTGTGATGACATCAAATAGCTATGCCCCCCCCCCCCCAGGTAAAACATGTGAAGACTCTGCTAAGAAGGCTAAGTCAACAATCAGGAATATCCATAACGAATGTCCAACGACTGCAGCAAAAACCTACATTTTGCAAGAAGTGTCATGTCAAAATTGGAGCTGGAGGTAGAACAAATCACGTATCTTAGTGCTTCTCTATGTGCACAGAGATGACATAAGCAAAAATGATAGAATGTCAGGACATCTAGAAATAAACATCTAGGATGTGCCCAGAGGGCATAGGTATCAGTGAAGCTGCCCTTTCCTGGCCAGACATCTTGAAAAGCCTTATAATTTATAGATCCATCATATAGAAGAGGCTACAACTTTGGCAACGGCTTAGGAAATGGAGAGTACGATCCTTTGCAGGTTTTACTCAGAGGAAAACACTACTTTTGATCACTGGGACTTGTTCTCAAGTAAATAAAGCTAGGATAGCAATGTTTAAGAAAAAGAATACTGACTAAAAAAAATGCATAGCATTTTCAAGTGCATCTGGTGCATTATCTAGTTATAATCCTTACAACAACCTTTTCAGGCAATTCAGTATTATTATCCTCCACATGCAGGAAGTGGGCAGAACAAGTCTAGGAGATAGTGACTTCCTTAAGGCTACCAAGGAAGTCTATGGCATAGGTGAGATTCAAATGAGCGGCAGACTTCCTGACCCATAGCTCAGTCTCAGGTTGCAATCCTATGCATGCATACCTAGGAGTAACCCCCATTGAAGACAATAGGACTTGCTTCTGAGCAAACAGGCACAGGGCAATTGTGTTAGCCATTCTGCTACACCAGCTCTAAAAATAATATTTTAAAATGCACTGGTTGTTGTCCTGGTTCATGCCTCTTTGTGGGGCAGGGGGGGTTAAGAGACAAGAGGAACATGCTGGCATTTTCCCCTTTAATTTTTTTTCTAAGGGAAAGTACACAAGATAAAATCTCTCATCACAAGATCTTAGTCTGTGTTTTCCCATACTTCCTATGATCTGTCATCACTTGACTTATTGAATGCAAGAAAAATAAGGGGAAAGTTGTCACCAGAAAAGCAAAACAGAAACCCAACAAGCAATAGAAGCTACTACCTTGAGTCTCCCTTCAGAAGGCCAACTCAGAAAAGTTGTCCATAATAATAAGGCAGCAGAAGTTCTCACTCTGTTCAAGAAAGCTAAATTGCCATACACCCCCATGCTAAACAAGGTAGAACAGAAACAAAGGTGATCTCTGGATTGGACATACCCTTGCACCCCAATCTGTGGAATCAGCATGTACACAATATATTAGCACAAATATAGACAGGCAGGCAGTGTCAGCAAAGCAGGGGGTAAAAACAGCCACATTACCAAGTTGCGTCTGCAGTTCTTAATGAGCTGGTAGATCGGGATCTTGGCTTCATAATAATACTCATCTTGCAAGTAAAATCCCAGGTGCTCCTAGCAGCGAAACTTCAGTTGTCCTCACACCGCTCCTCCTGCCCCAGGTATTCCCTCTGAAGAGCAGGCATGCTTCAAGAACAGGAGCTTTCTCAAAAGCATTACTCCTTGCAACAAAAATCCGGCCTCTTTGAGAGGAGTCCTAAACTACTGGAGCTCTTCTCGGCTTTATTCCTCCCTGCCTTTGTGCCAGCACTGTTTGGAAGTGACAGTGCTTTTCTCTTCTGCCTTGCATTGCCGGGGGAGGAGGAACCGTATTTTGAATCTATTCTCCATCTAGGTCACATGGGAAGCAAGGCAGCTGAAAGAGCCTCTTGATCGCTTTTCTCTCGCAATCCTATAATAACAGGTTTAAAGGTCAGCCACATGCTAAAACTGTTGATGGGCGGCAGAAGGAAAATATGAAGATGAGCCACTGGAGCACCAGTAAGTAGCCAGGGAAGCTTCGCTTCCAGAGGTGCCAGGGTAAATGGAAGAGCACAGAGCATTATGACCCCTTCCTTTTCGATGCAAGGACTGCCTGAGAACATAATTCTTCACTCTCTTTCCTTCTGATATCTTGCAGCCTCCCTCTCTCCCTCCCTCTCTCTCTCCCTCCCTCCCTCCCCACTGCTTTCAGAAAGGGAAACCAGCTGCTTAATCACACAAAAAGCTTGAGGGCTGAGTGACATCTGGTTGAGAAAACACCTTGAGATGCTAAACAGGAAGTTAAACTAAAAGGAATACATGCACAATGGTTGGGGACTGATAAGTCTCAATCTCTCTCTCCCTTTCTCTTTCTCACTCTCACACTTATCATACAGTGTATATGTAGGTCTTATACTATGCACAGCACAATCCTAATCATGCTATTTGGAAGCAAATTCCAGAGTTCAATGTGACTTAAAGGTAAAGGGACCCCTGACCATTAGGTCCAGTCGTGGCCGACTCTGGGGTTGCGGCACTCATCTCGCTTTACTGGCTGAGGGAGCTGGCGTACAGCGTCCGGGTCATGTGGCCAGCATGACTAAGCCACTTCTGGTGAACCAGAGCAGCGAACGGAAATGCCATTTACCTTCCCACCATAGCGGTACCTATTTTTCTACGTGCACTTTGACGTGCTTTCGAACTGCTAGGTTGGCAGCAGCAGGGACCGAGCAACGGAAGCTCACCCCGTCGCGGGGATTCAAACCACCGACCTTCCAATTGGCAAGCCCTAGGCTCAGTGGTTTAGACCACAGCACCACCCACGTCCCTTCATTGTGACTTACTCTCAAGTAAAAGCTCATATAGGATTGCTGCCAAGGTCCTGTTTCATAAAGGAGCGAGAGCTGTACCTGAGCTGCTCCATTCAAGATGCCCAGAGGCTCTCCCTTGCAAGCAGCTAACATGCCCAGCCAACCATTAATCATAAACCCTCCTGCCTAAAAGAAATTCCATCTGAAATTCTCTTAAGTGTCGGCATGTGCAGTTTTGTGAAAGAGATAAGATATGCATTTTCGGGGTTACGTTCTTGCTATGTACATACTGATTTGAGGATGCGTGCAGGGAGAGATTTTTAAATGCCATGTTGTGAATATGCTTTGGAATTTGCTTTCAAAATGTAGACAGCGATGTCATCAGCAAGTGATTACATGCAGAGGAACTGTTCCTCCATGCAGGAGCAGCAGATTACGTATTACAAAGGGTTGGGTAACCTCCTGGCAGTTTTGGGAACGAAACTCAACTGACGTGTCATGATCTTCTTGCGTCCTTACTTTTTAAAGAACATGTTAAAAAACAAAACATGTGGACAATGAGATTTCCATCTGTATCTGGAGAGGTGCCCATTAATCTCTGCTAACATCAGCTGAGGGTTATTGATTGCTATTTTAAGAGCTCCAAAAACATGCACCACGGTCAGTACATGCTATTCATTGACAGGAATGATCCTGTCTGCCCTCTAGGCTTATGCCAATCATCTGTATGCAAATTGTTCCATAACAGCAGAAAGAATTTTAATGAGGCATCATGCTCCGCATTCTCTTCATTTGTCTCCCAAGCTTTTATTTTCTATAATATGTTTAGTGGCCGATGCTTAGGAGTTTCAAAGGGGAGCCTCATTTCTTAGTCAAAGAGCCTCCAAGAGAGGAAGACCAACAATAGACTGTTAAACACAGGGATAGTCAAGGGGCCTTGGAAACACCTGAACCTGTGCAATAGGAGATGTGTTAGCATTCTCCCAAAGGATTTGCTGTTGTTGTTTAATTAAGGTTTTAAAAATGCTGGGAGATAGCTGTTTAATCCACAAGCAAGGTAATGAAGGCCTAGGGCAAATGAAGCCCTCCAGGCATCTCAGTCTTGCTCCCAGGACTCTTCCTAGGCCACACCCTTGCCTTGGCCACACCTCCTCCACAGGACACACCCCTCACTGATCCTGATCCATGTGCTTCTCAAGTGCGTTGGTATGTGATAGTTTGCCTTGCTTGTTTGGATGGGGAACGGGAGGTTAATTCATAGGCAATAAGATTATCAGTGGCTACTAGCCGGAATGGTTCCCCAGGTCAGAAACTGGGGAAGAACAGTGGGAGAAGGTTATTGGCCCCATGTCTCTTGTGAGCATTCCAAAAAGCCTCCAGTTGAACTCTACAGACACAGGATGCTCAGTGATAGGAACAAGCTAGCAGTAAATCACACTGAACACGTTGGAGTTAACTCTTTATTAGCAAAAGGAGAAAGGACCTGCACAGGAGTGTCTGGCCTGATGAGCACAGCGACTCATCTCTGGCAGGTCTTACCCCTATGAA